GTTTGGGGGGGGGGGGTGAGATCAAGATGTTTTAATAGCACCATCGTTCTTTTCGTGAAATTTGCCATTGGAATCAGTTATCAATTCGTGAATCCCGGCACCTTGCAACAGGCCCATTGTAATGGATCTTATTCGATACACCGCACAGGTGAGATTGTATCAACATAGATTGGTTTATTGTAAACATAGCCTCAAAAGTCAATCGAGTAATCTGAGGGAATGGGTTCTTATGATAGATTTTTTATTCTTACGAGTACAAAATGGCACTGAAAAATGAAATTGTTTGGAATTTTCTTATTTTCAGCTTTTCTTACTTAAATCCCAAAATTTTTGTTAGATATTATGTTCTATTGTTTTGAAGCAAACGATGTATGGAACCACTATCGAATACAGTCTATATGAGGAGGCCGACGTTGTGAATCTATGAGACTGGGAATGGGGTTAAGGTGAATCTACAGCGGTGCGTAGTAAGAAATTTTTCCGCGCAGGGAGCGCCACCGCTGTGTTTTGAATTTTTGGTCTACGCTATCAGAGTCCGTACAGCTCCACATAAGTCCTTATTGAGCTTTTATGAAAGTTAAGGGAATTTCTGTTGAAATCGAAGAGTCACAAGCTCCAGCTATAACATTTTTCTTCCTATTGACACGATAAAAGACGTGAAAAGTACTATCTGAGCTCTGAAACTTGATCCCAGAAAAAAGTAGGGTTAAGCATGATGACCTTGGTGCAACCGATCGCGAATGATCATTCTCAGCGGTTGCAGATATCTCTCTCTCACCGTGAGCTATCTCTCCCTTACTTACAGATATCCCATAAGAGAAACTGGGATCAAGTTTTAGCTTTTATTATTGAACTTTCGAGGCTCCCGTTTGTTTCTAGGCATTTCAGACCTATGCTGCTAGAACTTATGAGTCTTAAAACTTAATATACAGGGTTATTCAAAAGTCACGCACCACTGACCATGACTTTAGTTCTGATCGAGATATCGATTTGCGGGTTGTGACGTTTTCCCTCACATTGAGAGGGAAACTTTGTAGGTACTTTCTAGTTTTCGTCCCCGTCAGGGGAAAGGGGGGGGGCGGGGTGCGACACAAAAATTTTGAATGGCCAACCCCCCCATGGCCAATGGTGCGTGACTTTTGAATAACCTTGTATCTATTGTGACATTTAAATAATCGCTGATTTTGGAGCTGGATTTCAGCAGCGCGAGGTGGTAGTCGGACCTACAGCTGAAGATTCACCTCAATAAAATATAGCTGATACAATAGCTGTTTCAAGTGGCAAGGACATCGTGGACATACCCGCAGGAAATTGAGGAGTGCGCTTTGGACGACGCTGAGACCGTCGCTATTCTTGGGCTTGAGCCGCTCCACGATGCCAGGACCCTCGCTCTTGGGGTCGGCGGCCTCGAGAGCCGAGCCTGCGACAACTCCGCCCTCCGGCAGGGGTGATCCCCGCGCGGAAGTCCAAGCCAGCAGCAGCCACGTCCAAAACACCCACGCCGCCGCCGCCGTCCACCTTCCGCTCTTCACTATTCCTCGCATGGCCCGAGATCCTCCGCCCAATATCCACGCACCTGCCACAAAAAAAATCAAAACTTGAGAGTATTCAGTGGTGGATCCACAGTGAGTCGGAGGAGGGGGGAACATTTTACTGGGAAACACTTCGTATAGAGAAAGGGGTCCGCAAGGCCTCCCCCGGAAATTTTTTTTAAAAAATAGGTCGTTTCAGATTGAATTTTAAGCCGTTTCGGTATACAATTTGTGCATTATTTGAAAGTTGAAAATTGACGAATGATACATCTTTCATCATAATTCAATTTTAGTATAGGTATGGACTATTAGTCCGTTGCCTACATAAAAAAGCCTTGCAACTTTTGATTGGAATATGCCTTTCAGGGCTCATTGGTGGTGCCCTCAGGAGTAATTTTGGTGGGGGCAACACTAAGACTCGCACCTGGAGCATGATGGCGGCCGTTAAAGTCCGCCATTTTGGTGTTTTTCAAAGCGCTGTGCCTCGGTTGCTATCCATCGGATTTCGAACAACTTTTTTTTTCAATGATGGTTATTTTCTACGAGAATAAATTTTCTCAATACCAATTTTCCCGTTGGACTTGAATTTTTTTTTCTTAAATTGATTGGGAAAAACTAAAATTTTTCAATTTTTTGGAAATTTGTAGGGCAAATAACTTTTTGACTCGCGAAAAAATGGATGTTTCGTCTCCTCTGATGGAATCGTAGAATTTTCTGATATTTAATTTGATACGAAACAATTTTCTTGCGATAATAAATAAATTCTTGAGAGCAATTTAAGTGTTGCGCGCAGCACCGCGGGACCCGTTTCGGCGTCCTAAACGGCCGACGCGACCCTTCAGTACGCTGTATTTCGGATGCTGTGCGATTGCTTTTAATCATTTTTTTTTTTTTTTTTATGAGCAGATATACTCATGAAGAATCAGCTCCTTAAAATATTTTGAGTCAACGTGATAATTTTTCAAAATTTTCAAAAGAAATGAAAATTGTGTGGTTAGATAATCGATTCTTTTGACAATTTTGAAAAATTATCACGTTGACATCAAAATTGTTTAAGGAGCTGATTCTTCATTAGTATATCTGCTCAAATAAGAAATGATTAAAATCAATCACACAACATCCGAAAACAGCGTTCAATTTAAGAAAAAAAATGTATGTCTAACAGGAAAATTGGTAATGAGTAAATTCATTCTCCTGGAAAACCCCATTATTGAAAAAAAAGTTGTTCGAAATCGAATCGATCGATACCAACCGAGGCACAGGGCTTTGAATGCGTGAAATTTTAATGCGTTTCAATCCTAGTTTCGCGCTCGAACTAAAACACTAGAATCTGATTTTTTCAACAGCAAAGAAATTTTGGTCCGGGTACTAGAGCTCATTACAGAGGGATGCAGGGTGCCCATTGTTCCCACCCTGACAATGAATGGGTTGCGGGCCTCTCTTCATTACACAAAAGGGAGCGTCCAGCGAGCGGTTCGGCCAAAGACTGACAAAGACCAAAAGACTCAGTCCGAGACTGATGCGTTGCCATTTATACGGATTTTAATGCCGAATAAAAAGTCTCAGGTTTCGTGAAAAGGATTGAGGTATTTACTACTGCGGTGAGTAACCCTTGGTTTGGAAAACTTTGGGAATGTAGTGCTGTTTTGAAACCATTTCAGTAAAATTTAAAGAGCACTCTTTTTTCTCCCTCCCCCTCCCCCTTTTAATTTTTCTCTTTTTCCGTTTTTTGCAGAAAAGGGGGGACGACAGGCATGCCACTATGTCAACCCCCCCTCCCCCCGGGTCCGCCACTGAGCGTATTTTGTCTGAAACTCACAAAGCGTATAACCTGTCTGAGCGGTCCCATTGAAAGCCATTGGGAATTTCCCTGGAAACCCGTAGGAATAGACAACTATGAACGAAGATTCCTCTGGGAGCCCCGAGGCTTCGCCTAGGTCACTCTGGCGTCTCATGGGCTCTTGCTAGTCTCTTCATCCACCCCATAGGTATCCCCAAGTGTATTTTCCCATTCTATGGATACCAATAAGTCCAAATGATATCATCATGGGATCTCTAGGGGGATCCATCAGAATAGCAGGGGCTTCCCATGGAAGCTTTTCGGCAGGGTATCTCGTTACTATAGACGTAGGTGTCTAAAATTAGTTCGATTGATTATTTGTAAAATTCCTTTAAAAGAGCACCCCTTGTTTAAAATACGACAAAATGAAGAATAACATTAGTATTTTACGTAAAAAAATGAATACGTATTTGCCTCGCCTAATGGCTCATTCTATGACAAAGCAATTTAGTAAAAATAAATAATAGATGCTAACTGAGACTCAATGTTCTTGGGAGCATTAGAAAGTGTTTGGAATTGAGAACGCTCGATACATTTTTCTCTTTTAGCAAAAATTAGTTTTTTTCGACACTTTGAATGATTTTGGTCTCCACCTTATGGCACATTTGCCCTGTCGCGTTACCATGGGCCTCAGGACAAGATATGAAATTAAAACACTGCGCGAAATTTCTCCTCTCCAGAATTTCATGAACAAAACGGTCCACACAACGAAAAATCTTGGAAATCAACTTCTAAATGGAAACAATACTAATGACGTCGTTTGTATGCTCCAACTTTGCTTCAATCTTAGTTACAAATACTTATACACGGCTCACTTGCAGCAAAACTTGCAACGTGTGCAAAGGGCTTATCGGTCTGCCGAAGAGTTGTAGTCTTGGTTCCTGGTGGACATAACCTAAAGATATTGCAGACTCAACAATCCAATTTATTTGCTACGCCATTCGATTTCGTGTATCGTTGTTCGGTGGTTCCAATGTAAACAGATACATAACCTCGTCATATTTATGCCGGGGCGCAAGGTAAGTGAAACGAAGGTATGCTCTTCCCCTACTCGAGCGCCTAAAATCGAGGAGCGCTTAGTTGCGTTGGTTTTGTTTTAGACTTGTTGAGAATTTTGAAGTAGGGCTCTGATGTAGCTGTATTCGATTTTCATGCGCCTTCTTTTTGTCATGGCAAGTTCCAGTTCCAAAATATCCGATTTTTAACCATCTTTTTTTTTCCATAGGCAAATTTTCCGCCAAGACTGGAAAAAAATCAACGCGACCGAGCATTTCGTCAGTTTTGAGTGGTCTGTACCGAAAAATCATGGGTACCTTTGTTCACTTACCTTGGATTGTGTCTTTGTAAGTGTTCCTGAAAACTGAAATGAAAACTTCTCGTGTTTTATCATTCAAAAATGAACCCTATAGACAAAATATGAATTCAAAGACCCCTCAATATATGGATTTCATTTTCCAAAAAGTAACTAAGAAGAATTCCGATGTCGCTAAGATTATGAAAATTTTTCACCTGTTTGCAAATATAAACTGATCATTTCAACAAGTTTTATCTTTACTCCTAATAAACTATGAATTCAAGACGAAAATTATCCTTGTAAATTTAATGTTTTGCATGATTTCAGTAATTTTTTTCCCCAATAAATGCAAGTTGCACATTCCTAGGAACATTGGGATGCTCTTGGTTCCTATTTGCAAAATGCAATCCATATTTTATTTTTGTCAACGTTTTACAAGGAAAACAAATCGCCTGTCGGAAAATCTGGAGTTAACTCCTTGACGAGATATTTACGGGGTGTCCCAAAAGTCCGTACCCCCCCTCGTAACTTTTGAACAGTTAGAGATAGAAAAACGAAACTTTGGGAATGTCTCTATCTTAAAGGGGACCATCTTCTAGGGGGGTCAAAATTATTGTCCTCCCCTCAGGGGGGGGGGCCCGACTTTTTATTTTCAAATGGTAACCCCTATCTTGTGATAGGTAAATCATTAGAAAAAGCATAAAAAATTATGAATTTTGGTGCAAATCGCAAATCAATATCTTAATTTTTGACCGAGTTATGATAGGCCAAGGGTCAAATTTGGCCTATTTTTAAAAAAATCATATCTCCGGTTCAAATTATCGTAAAGAAAAAAATCAAACGGGAAAATTTACCAAATTGTAAGCTTTTTTCAGTAAAAATCACAGAAATTACTTCAAACTAATTTTAAGGGGGGTTTCGGACCCCCAAATACGTCATTCTAAAGGTCACACGGTTTTCTCGCGAAATGAACCAATTTCCCCTTACCTTTCCTCAACATTATCTGAGTAAGTTCAAATTTAGTTCAACATTGCGTTTTCAAGTCCCCAAATTTCGAACAAAGTTTTAAAAAAAATGAAATTTAAATGGTTACATTGAATCACCTTAAATTTCGTTTTTTGAACTTTGCCCGAAACTTGGGGACTTGAAAACGCAATGTTGAACTAAATTTGAACTTACTCAGATAATGTTGAGGAAAGGTAAGGGGAAATTGGTTCATTTCGCGAGAAAACCGTGTGACCTTTAGAATGACGTATTTGGGGGTCCGAAACCCCCCTTAAAATTAGTTTGAAGTAATTTCTGTGATTTTTACTGAAAAAAGCTTACAATTTGGTAAATTTTCCCGTTTGATTTTTTTCTTTACGATAATTTGAACCGGAGATATGATTTTTTTAAAAATAGGCCAAATTTGACCCTTGGCCTATCATAACTCGGTCAAAAATTAAGATATTGATTTGCGATTTGCACCAAAATTCATAATTTTTTATGCTTTTTCTAATGATTTACCTATCACAAGATAGGGGTTACCATTTGAAAATAAAAAGTCGGGCCCCCCCCCCTGAGGGGAGGACAATAATTTTGACCCCCCTAGAAGATGGTCCCCTTTAAGATAGAGACATTCCCAAAGTTTCGTTTTTCTATCTCTAACTGTTCAAAAGTTACGAGGGGGGGTACGGACTTTTGGGACACCCCGTAAATATCTCGTCAAGGAGTTAACTCCAGATTTTCCGACAGGCGATTTGTTTTCCTTGTAAAACGTTGACAAAAATAAAATATGGATTGCATTTTGCAAATAGGAACCAAGAGCATCCCAATGTTCCTAGGAATGTGCAACTTGCATTTATTGGGGAAAAAAATTACTGAAATCATGCAAAACATTAAATTTACAAGGATAATTTTCGTCTTGAATTCATAGTTTATTAGGAGTAAAGATAAAACTTGTTGAAATGATCAGTTTATATTTGCAAACAGGTGAAAAATTTTCATAATCTTAGCGACATCGGAATTCTTCTTAGTTACTTTTTGGAAAATGAAATCCATATATTGAGGGGTCTTTGAATTCATATTTTGTCTATAGGGTTCATTTTTGAATGATAAAACACGAGAAGTTTTCATTTCAGTTTTCAGGAACACTTACAAAGACACAATCCAAGGTAAGTGAACAAAGGTACCCATGATTTTTCGGTACAGACCACTCAAAACTGACGAAATGCTCGGTCGCGTTGATTTTTTTCCAGTCTTGGCGGAAAATTTGCCTATGGAAAAAAAAAGATGGTTAAGAATCGGATATTTTGGAACTGGAACTTGCCATGACAAAAAGAAGGCGCATGAAAATCAAATACAGCTACATCAGAGCCCTACTTCAACATTCTCAACAAGTCTAAAACAAAACCAACGCAACTAAGCGCTCCTCGATTTTAGGCGCTCGAGTAGGGGAAGAGCATACCTTCGTTTCACTTACCTTGCGCCCCGGCATAAATATGACGAGGTTATGTATCTGTTTACATTGGAACTACCGAGCAACGATACACGAAATTGAATGGCGTAGCAAATAAATTGGATTGTTGAGTCTGCAATATCTTTAGGTTATGTCCACCAGGAACCAAGACTACAACTCTTCGGCAGACCGATAAGCCCTTGCACACGTTGCAAGTTTTGCTGCAAGTGAGCCGAAAGTGAGGGTCATCGATGCGCTGTTGAGCGCTCACGCCCGATTTTAATTTCAATTGCGTTCACACGTTGCAAGTGAAAACGGCGCGCGCATTCTCCTTTCGACCAATGAGCGTCCTTCGTTTTGTTGACAATATTCACCGGCACATGACTTTTTTTGAAAAGTTTGAGGTTATTGTTATCCTAGTGATCATAATGCAAGGAAAACTTTTTTGAGGACTAAAGTTCTTTTCGCTTTACGTACCATGGATACCGACCTCCTTTTGCTTTGGCAGTTTAGACTTTCCTACTAATAATCGCGGCATACCGGGAAGACTCAAAACGGAGGCGACGCGGAGAAAGGAGATTTTGGGTTCGGTAAGTTTTTCTTGTTTATAAGTATTACTCCAGATTTTGATTTGTTATCCATCTTTTATAATAATACTAGCCGCTCTGGACGCGCTTTGCACGTCCGTCACGGCCAGCCAAGGGGCTGCGCCCCCTGGACCCCCGATCACTCGCTACGCGAGTGACATTCGGCTCGCTCCGCGAGCCATTTTTCTCAGTGATCGGACATTTGATCACTAAGATGTATAGGTACATTTTGGAGACTCTGGAGGCAAAAATGATTTCGTCACAGAGCCTTGTTGCTGGAGCATGCCATTATTTGCAAATGAATAGATGTGTGGAGATGAAGCGATGATGGGGATCGATCATTTCTTCAAAAGCGCATTTGACTGGGACGTCATCCCATCGGGTGGACACTTGGACAGTCCATGGATCTCCTTCCGCGATTTGACTCGCTGAAGTAGCAAAAGTTCATCTTTACCTCTTAAGAAGATTATCGGTGGCGTAGGGGTCTAAAAACTGTTCAACGATAGTATAGTTCGAATTCCGAATCGCAATGAGCCCACTCGTGTATTTTTCTTATATTTTCATCGCATTTAAATTTCTCTGATGTTTTTGTTTTAGTCTCTCTGATTGCATATTAGTAATCATATCCTCATCTCATTTCCTTTCCCTTTCCTTTTTCATTTTCTGTAGCATCTTGGTCCATTTACAATTATTATTTTAAAATAGCTTTCCCCTAGTATACAATTGATGCTTCAAATAGAGTCAATTGTTTTAATGACATTTCCGGCTAAATAGTGGGTTTTCCCAGGAAAGCAGCCTCTCATTCCTCCCGGACTCTATTGTTGCCGCATAAGTTACTTTTTTAGCACTTTTCCCCATTCAAATCCATGTAAAATATTCACATTTATCGCACAATCTAGCAACCTCTCGAGTGAAATAGAAAAAGGTGGAATCGCTGAAAATCTGAATCCTTCGAAGTTTATATTAATGATGTACAACTGTACAAAATATACAAAATTTACAAAAAAAGCCCACGAGGCTTACACTACCCGGTCACTATGGTCACCATTTAAAAGAACGTTGGTTGTAGAGCCGCGACCTCATCGATGATCGTGAAAATTGCGGGCGCCCCGCAAATTTCAGAATCATCGATGAGTGATGCACCGATGACTCTCACTTTCGGCTCACTTGCAGCAAAACTTGCAACGTGTGCAAAGGGCTATAGCCATCGACACCGACTAAAACACTTACCGGGACTTTTTTTCCGGGACTCAAGGCACTCACCATTCACCAATCAACACGGTATGGAAACATAAACACCACGATTTGCTGCGCGGTTGACGTTTGACGCACGATAACGCGGGACGCTGGAATTTTCGTGTGAGCCAGCGTTCCAACTGAGTTGTCCAACCGATCGGAATCACATGTGCTTCGAATTGAATTAACGGTCGATCGAAGAAATCTGGCAGGGCGGTGGACGAGGAGAGGTGCCGTCCGGCCGGTGGAGGGGTTGAGGTCGCGCGAGAAAGTGGAGAAACGCTCGCGACGCAATCGCGTGCGTCTGTCGCGATGCGCGACGCCTGGCGTGCCCTGTCGCGCGTTGTCAGGGACACTCGGAATCGTAAGGTCGGGTAGCTGTAAGTACACCGAGTCGGACTGCTGCGGAATCATTAAAATAGGTCTGCGGGCTGTTCGTTGAAATTGATAGACAAAGCTATAGACAAAGATGAAGAAAGGGATGTGAAGGGACCCTAGTGGTGGAGGATGGTGGTTGAAATGGACAAAGGAATAGACTAACTAACGGCAACTCACGAGAGACCCTACAGTTAGTCCATAAGTTAAACCCTTACTTTATCAGAACTACCTGTTTCAACTAATGTGATCGCTCCGCACTCCCTGTGTCTTCTTTGTCTATAGGTTTGTCTATAAATTCCAACAATCAGCCCCCTGTGGCAAGAAATTATTGCAGGGTTATAGTAAAGGTTTTCTCGTTTACGTGAGAAAGCCAAAGAGGTTCCTTTTGGTGGAAGTGGGTGATTGCAATGGACAAAGGATGTAATCAACAGCAACAAACGAGATACCTTACAGTTTGCCCATCATTTTCCCCCTTGACTATGACAATCTCCCTTTTCAACCAAAAGGATCGGTCCGTTTACCCAGTCTCTTCTTTGTATTTTGCTTTGTCTATCAATGCCAAAAATCTGCACACAAACCCAACTTGGTGGATCGCGGTTCTGTGACGATGAGATGCCTCTTTGTGCCTACCCCTAAAAACAATTCCACCTCCCACCCGTGCCAGCATCACAGGAGGCGTTATTTGTCCATTAGCGGTCCATTTTGCGTTGCTACTTTACTCTCGTCAACCACCGATTATGAACTTCAGCGCTGGCTAGTTGTTAGCCAATAGGTAGGTATAGTCGATCATCTCCTAAAAATCAATTGGTATTCATTCATTCGTGGAATCAGTCGACAACTATGAGATGCGTGTCTCTGAGAGCAAGTGTACTAGCGTCTCTAAATACGTTGTTGTCTACTTTTCAGAATCGGCTCGATACCCTGAACTATAATAAATACGTTTTTTAAAAAAAGAGGATGACAACAGGGCCTTACAATTACCTAATAAATAATCGACTCATTATGAGCTTATTTTTTGCATTCAGTAATCGACTCGCGGCCTCTTTGGCCCACCTCATCGAGGTCGTCACTTTTGGGGCCACAGAGGCTTGATTGCCATATTTACCTATAATCGGACCACATTTAGCAGCATGGAACGAAGTCACATTTTCGGGTGTTTTGAGTTATTGATTGATCTGAATGGGTTAATATATCTTTTATTTCACGGCAAAAGTGCTTGATTGGGAAAAATCGTGTTCGATTCGAAATGTGGATTGATTTGCTTCGGGCGATTTCGAATTCACAATGAGGAGCCAAACTTTGCCGATGTGCTCCCGCCAAAATTGCAATGGAGAATTTGTAGGCGTCTAAAATTTGATGAATTTCGTGTTTAGGTGGAAACTACTAAGTGAACTGATCACTAGGATGCTCTTGGTTCATGATTTGAACAATTATTGGAGAGGATAAGACAAAATAATCGAATCTGCTAAAATGCATGCGTATTTAAATGGGGAATACCGCCAGATGACGTCACAAGACGGTGCATTTCTCACTTTTAAATCTATTTCTATGCTATTTCCCATATCAGAAAAAAAATAAAAAAAACACTGTGAAATCAGCTCTTTTAGCAATTTCGGTCGAAGCAATAAAAAATTTGCATGCAAATTCCCCATTAGAGGTTCGGTTTACGTGCTCTGCCTCGCCGGGAACCAAAGACATTGAATCACGTAGACCGTGCATCCTGTGTTATGGAAGGCGAGACAACTTTGAAAAATTCGCATGCGATGAGTGGTGGGCACCAACCCGCATCGATGAGTTCGTGTGTCCCAGTTGCGCACATCTGCGCATGCGCAGTAGCGGCTCCAGTGAATTTTCGTCGGATTGTGAGGCTTTTTTCCTCGGTTAATAATTAGCTTGGAAAAATGAAACAATGCTAATCGGGTGCAAAATTATGTGTTCTATAATTCTTCTTCTTAGGAATTTTGTCTACAAATGGACTCTAAACGAGATATTCGTGAAAAACCGAGCGCGGGCATGAATTCTCCATTGCCTCTCGGCAATATCTTCGAGTGCTTGGGACACACGCTCTCTCTCTCCCCTTCCCCGCCCGTCCATCATGGGGCTCAGAGAGACTTGCCTCGCTCCGCCAGTACTAAACCGAGCCGAACGCACGGTCTACGTGATTCAAATTCTTTGCCGGGAACCAAGTCCCCGCTATGTTTCGAATTCACCGAGAGGAATCAAGTCGGCTTGGTTCCTTTCTGTGATTTTGTCTTCCGACTTGGTACCAAGTGGAAACCAAGTGGCACTTGGTTCCTTTCTCTGATTTGATTTCACCCACTTGGAAGTAGGCAAAAGGGAACCAGTGACCAAAAACACAGATAATTAAATAGGTAAAACATTTATTCCACTTTTATTGGTGTCAAAAAGTCTCTCATGAAGGTGCTAGTTCGTAAAAATTCAAACTTCAACTATTTCAATCGGTTTAGAAATGCATGAACAGTAATCCTGTCATCTCGATTTTCTCGAGATCAGCGCGATGTTGCTTAGTTCATTTCTGCTTAACGCGGTCCACTTTGTCATTCCTTATTGTACACTAATAACTATAGGTACCAGACACTCCTCAAAAAGGGACAGACGGTTCGACTTTTAGCATTTTGGTTCCTGCATCAAGAAATTATCTACGTTTAGTGGTTTATATGGAAGCCCATGAAATGTTGGTAGATATAAGCATTAATCTCGTTTTTTAGCAGTTTTAATTAAAATCAGGTAACTTGCATTTCATGTTGTCCAATTTCATCACTTATTACCCAAAAGCCCAACAGTAAAAAGCGTTGAAACTTTTGAAGTTTCTCCCGGTCTATGAAAAATATATCATCCGAAAACCTGAAGGTTAAAATACAGATACTTTGAGGAAATAGCCTAAGCGTAAGCGGTAATGTATCAGAAGTAGTTTCGCCAGAGGGCGACACTTCCCCAGTGGTTCTGGACGAGGCATCTCTGATTGGTTGCAGTTGCCGAATGATGATGGATCGACCAATCAGAGATGGCGTGCCCTGAGCCGCTGGGGAGTCAGTTGTAGTTTGCACTGAAAAACAAGTCGGTCATTTTGAGTTCACGAATGACGTTTCCAATGCTCATGCTGGGCATTGGATGTTCTCCCAGTAAAGTGTAAAGTCTCCAAATACGTACTTCACTTCAAATTAATTTTTTTAAATTATAAGGGTTCGAAAAAAATGAATGATCATTTAGGTATTCCTTTGTAACCACCACAGTCCTTTTCTTTGATTATTGTCCCAGTTTGATTTTTGTTGCCATCTTGAAGTTTTGTGACGTCAAGCGGGTACCACTTTTGCCAGGCGACTACCGAATCTGTAGCGCGCATTTCAAATCTTCGCCTGCTCTCAACAAGATTAGAACAAGATGAGGACGAGAAGCATTGTTTGATAAGTGAGATGACGATGAGATATAAATTAGATATAAATGATCCGTCACATTCCTCCCTAGAAATGTNCACTGAAAAAAACACTCCGGCTGTGGAAGCCGTACTTACGGGCTATATAGACATACCGTTCGTGTTCCGGGCTCAGAGGCCGAAAGTTCCGAGCGTAGCACCCGGAGCAGTCGAAGTGCTCCGGGTGCTACGCCCGGAACTTTCGGCCTCTGAGCCCGGAACACGGACGGTATCTCTATAAACCCCGTAAGTACGGCTTCCACGGCCGGAGTGTTTTTTTCAGTGTGGTCGGGTCGAGAAGCCTGTAACCGTTTTTTCACGGGACTTGTTCCCCAACCATATTTAAATCCTTTTAAATAGTGTATGTAGTGTCTGTTTCTTTCCGGCCGTGCCTCTGTTCGTCCAAAAGATTCATTCAGTAGTTTTCCTTTCAGAACTTCGTTCTCTATTGTGTGCTGGGTTCCAGAAACGGGTGGCCTAGTCACAATGTCTTTTTATGAGTACTTGAAAAGTAATCTTAACTATTGATTCTTAACGAATACAGTGCGCTTAAAGACCTCCAAACAGAGTTCACTGTGAGTGTAAGGCTAAAAAAACACGGGCATATAGTTTGTCTGAATTTAAATGGATGAAAATAGGTAGTCTTTTAATATTTAATATTTAGACCGCATATGAAATATACACATTTTAGACGTGCCAAAATATGTTGAAGCTGTCCGGAGACTTCGTACTTGAATATCTTAGCAAATCTCTAATTGGCAGAAGTTCTGAGGTCAGTTACTTGACGATTTTTATCTTTAACCGATTGCTTCATAAACTTAAAAAAAAAAATTAAAACCGCAAGCAAAATCATTAGAAATCCTTTGAAACTTGAAACTTCAAGTTCTTGAAAACTTCATGGTGACTTATTAATTTTGCTGATTAAGGAAGTGCTGGAAGACTATCAATGAAGAGACATGTTTGCATTCAGGAGCCATTGAGTGAGTAAGTAATTATAACATCCTACAATGTTGTTGTTGTGTTTTTTTTTTTTTTTTTTTTTTTTTTTTTTTTTTTTTAACACCGCAACTTAGTATAACTTGGCCCACTTTTGAGAATCACGCCATTTTATTTCTATTATTTGATTACAATATGAATATTTCTTACGAGTCGTAAGTATCATCTCATTTTTTGTAATATTTCTGAGGTAAGCATTGGACAATCTTTCAATTCTGTTACGCATATTCTTGTTCCGAATGACTGATCATTTTTTCAACGATACAAGTTCATCTACTTTGCCGTAAATATCATTATCCACAATGACTACGAATTATGCCTCCACAACTACCTCCGTCTTTCAAGTTCTATGCCTATTTGGCAACGTATAAGCCTTGAATATTTCGACTACAATCAAAACAACGGGTCATGCAGGACTAATCATACGCATCATTATAGCGTGAAACGCAAGCAGCAAGCTCGCTGAACACGGAAGAAAAATAAAAATACGGTGATTTCGTCGAAAATAACCCTCAAATGTGGATATTAATATAGCAGCCGCACCATTCCTGATTAAACTCTGTAACGAAAAGATAAGTTTCAAAAAATAAATCTAACCACCATCAAAATCATATCTGAATTATTGGTATTTTGTGTAAAGATGTATACGGTTGGAATAGTTTTCGCAGCAGAGCCATTGGAAAAGCTGGGGTTAAAAATCTGACACTACAAGCTGTACAGTCAGCGTGTGGTCAACTAATATTCACACATTTCATATAAATAAAAAGTTCTGGTATTTTATGAACACTTTTTCTTGAAAAACTATTCAGTTAGATTTCATAGTATTATAAAGTGTCCGTTGTAGAGAAAAAAAAGTTTCAGAGACTGCATCTTAGAAAACAACATATTTATAATTACAAATAGTGTAAAAAACGAATAGAAAAAAGGCAACACCATTTTAAAAAGTCAATAATTGAGTTTTTTATAGATGCAGATACTGCACATTAGAATCATCATCGAAAGATGATGCACGAAGTGATTTGAATGTAACATAGCAAAACACCATACATCATATAGAACCATTTTGCAAAATGAGCTGATCTAAAGGCACATCCTGGCACCAAGTTTATTATAGGAACAGGTTGGAAAGAAGTGATTTACGTGGCATTCATCCTTGTAGAGTTTAATTTTCATATAATGTACCCACGCAGAGGAGAGAAAACAACTAATCTAGTTTGATTTCAGTGAAATAAAATCAAAAATACATTTGAGAGCACAGCAAAACTTAAATGCGTTTTATTGTCATGGTTTGTGCAAACATTTTATTGCTGATAATCTCCTGGTATGTTTTAGAAAAACTCTTTTGAGCACTGTAACGCAGGAGAGATATTCTATTAATCACGTCGGGAGATCCACCGAATGTATTGCCTTTCTTCTCTAGAATAAAAGAAGAAAACAAAATTTTCGGAGGATTTTTCGTACAGCAGCTTACGGCAATCACATTGAGCTAACATTGCAGTAATTATTTCATGGGTGGTCGGACTAAAAGTTTTATACTTAAGAATCTTATCGTCAAAAGTCATTTTGTCAATAAATAAATAGAGTGGGTCATTATGACGTCATTAAGTTCATGGTTGTCGGCCTCCATTAAGGAACTGGTTGACTCCTCGAAGAGCAGAAATTGGAATCTGAAATAAAAATGAAAGGAACAAATATTATTGAGAACAAACATGAAAGGATTACGTAACTTTGCTTCTCTTAATGCAAAATTTACTCTTGGATATATGTCACAGGCAGTCATCAATTTGCAACTGGCATGCGAGTTGACTCATCAAATTCAAATAATTTGCATCGAAAGAGTAAAATTTACATTGGTGAAGAACCTTGAAAGCACGATATCAGTTTGGAGCGCCTTTAAATCTTGGGAATACTCTACGCTTTGTTCGGCAGTTAGTTTAGTTGCCGACCCGGACCAAAATCAACACGCCTATTGAAATCACTAAGGCGCTCGACCGCTCGTTGCTACCATACATTCAAGAAGGAAAAAACGTCTCCTTGAATTCCAGGCACATCATTAGTACTCTCTGTCTTGTTTCTTCACTTTTAAATTTTTACATATTTTCTTATTGAACACAATTAAATTAAAGCGGTCAATGTTGATCAAAAAAGAGAGGCGCCTCTGACATATTGATAGGTAACACATAATAGTCGCATCAATGTCCCATCTTGATAGTGGAAATATAGATACAGCCATACCTACCGTTGGTGTAGAACACCAACTTTTTTATTTGTCTATGTTTTACATGAAACAGCACATTTCGACCGAGTTCATCAGAATGGTGCCAACCCACTTGAGATGTCCCACAAGTCGTATATTTTAGCCATTAACCGAAAGTCGAAAAACAGAAATTAGTTTGTGAAAACGAGGGGTTAAAGTTTATTTTCCACATTGAGGCATATGGAGGAATGAAACTTCGAACCTCCTCCTTTCAGTTTCAACTTAAAACTACAAAAAACCCCAAAAAACTTTCAGATTCTAAGGGGTAAAGAATCCGGCCAAAGTCTTAAACTTCTTGAACCAAATTTTCTTATTACTCGTAAAAGAAAATTAAAANTATTAATTCCTGTGCGAGGAGTCTCGTCGAGTCAACTGGAATAAATTCTCTTTAAAGCACGACAGGAATCGGACGTTTCTCTAAAATAACAGAAATGTCAAATGAAGTAAAGAGATTTCCTGCTGATTCAACGAGAATTCTCGTCCGGGGTCTATTATAATAGAGAATTTGCAGGTGTCTGAAATTTGATGAATTTCGTGTTTAAATGGAAACCAGTGAAACCACTGAGTGAACTGAACACGAGGATACCTTTGGTTCATGAATTAAACACTTATTAGAGAACACTGAAAAAAAAGGGTCAGATTTTAGCCGAACTGGTCAGTTCAGCGGCGATTAGGCTAATATGCAAACAGTTTGAAGTAGGAAACAAAATCTTTGAGATCCTAGAATAACCAAGTTTATATGCTATCGAAACCTCATTTTGGATTCATCACAAACCTAAACGTCTATGTTGTATCTTAACCATTTCTAGGTAGTATCTGAACTAGTTCGGATATAATCCAAACTAGCCATATACCGTCACGAACTGTTTAGGTTGGTGCGGTGACGAATCACGTGCGTTTAAAAAAGTCCGTTACTTTTTCAGTCTCAGTTGAAATGCTAATGGCGTCGCGAGTCGGTCGTATCGAGTAAGTTTACGAATTAAAAGTGATAAAAATGGATTATCTCAAGTGCTTTGCTATTTCAAATTCACCGCTCATTCTCGGAATCGTCAGTGGCGCTCTCTGAAGGCAGTAGAACTTGACTCTCACTCTCAGTCGGTCCAGAGCTGATGTCAACACTGAAACATGAAACTGATACTGATAGGACCATTCCGGTGAGTTGAGGTATTAAGGATTACTAATTCTTCAATCCTTTAACTAAACACATCCGAAAGCATCATTACTGAGCTATTAATCTTTTAAGTAAAGCAGTATTCCTTCGTCCAAGAGTGTAGATGTTTAACTAATCTATTCGTTCGATCGGCGTGATTCGTGACAAGAATTCGCGTGATATCGGAGGACTCCTGACAGTGATTCTTATCATCAATGGTAACTCAAGAAACATTAGCATCATCCAAATCATCATTTGATCGCTCGATATCGGTGATATTGTTTTAACACATGCATGGGATAGTAACAGTGTGTACCTATCTATGAGTCGCTCCTAATTAGAATCAGGACCTCATGTATGTATCAAAGCTCAATATTTTGGTTTCATTCAGTGGCACATATATTTTAAGGTGACAATTTTTTCTCAGGTGACTCATCTGTAATATTTTTAACTTCGTATAACAACTTAGAAATCAATTTACATCTCCGCTTAGCGCCAGAACACAATTGGTTATTTTTCATTAAAACTAACCTCAAAATATGTTTTCATTCTTTATCCGCCTCGTAAATTGGTCGAGATATCCTGGCTGCCCTATCAATTGGAAACTAAATGCGGGTTTTTCGTCCCCGATACTCAAGTTCTCGGCATAGCTCAGTAAGTAGGATCCTCGTCTTCGGTTAAGTAGGTCCCAGGTTCAAATCCCGACGTAGGCAAAAAAATTCTGCACGTAAATATCGAGAAATGTGCCTACAATTGTCTCGTGGACCTTATTTTTCGCGGTTTTAGACATTATTTCCGTAAACAATCCATTTTGGAGGGCTTTTTTCAACTGTCCCCTGGCTACGAACCCCAAAATTTGCTGCCGATGCTCCAATTTAGCGATCCAAACCAGGTTTAGATAGTAAACTAAGCTCGTGTACTGAGCTAAATTCCGAGTTAGCATACAATCCAAAATCGGTTTGCCTACTATCCAAAATAACTAGCTGGGGCCTTATCAGCTATCCCGAGTTGATGTTGTACACCGATATTCCGGCAAAAATCCAAACCCTTTTTTTTCAGTGAAGATATGACAAAATGATCTAATCTGCTAAAATACGCGTGTTCAAATGGGTAATGCCGCCAGATGACGTCACTAGGCGGTGCATTTTCCCACTTTTAAATATATTTTTATACTATTTCCCCTATAAGAAAACAATTTTAAAAAATACTGTTAAATCAGCTCTTTAAGCAGTTTCAGATGAAGCAATACACCTTTTGCATGCAAATTCTCCATTACTGTTATGATGTTGATCCCTCAGAAAGTCTTTATCCGTGCATGCATTGGTTCCTCTTCTGCTGTTTTAGAGCCAGGAATGATACTCACATCGAAGACATTGTCGTAGAAGGTGGGTGATTTCTGGGAGGGTTCTCGTTGACCGTTGACGTTGGTGGTTGAGACTCCGGCTTGGGGTTTGTAGCCGGCACCGGCCACGGGAGCAGCATCTCCACCTGCCGAGGCGGAACCGCCGAAGTTCAGAGGTGCATCTCCTGAGGGCCTGTGCGGGTCTCTCGTTGACATCACTTTCGTTGAGTTACCTGCCGAGAAGAACATGCCTTGAAACAAATGTCTTGTCAGTTACACTTCATCCTTGAGTACCTATATACTGCCGTGCTAAGGAAGAACGCCGCCGTATGAGCCTTCAGACGGTTCCCAAGTTTCCTCCGATAAAAACCGAATTTACTGGAAAAATTGTGAATATTTTTTTCCACAATTTTCGCACAGTTTTCTACGTAATGCAATCTAAAATATCTGAAAATTTCAAGGAAAAATGTGCATGAATGTCATCAAAAATACATAAGTTATCGAGGGAAATTTGGCAACTCTCGAATGTTCATACGGCGTTCTTCCTTAGCGCGGCAGTACAGCACTCTCACATAATGTATAAACGGCCTCTTAACCTCCTTTCATCCCACCAAGTGAGAGTAAATCGATAGAAATGCCTCATGAGACATAATGATTCGGAGACTTTAATGCCTGAGCAGAAAAGCAGCCGTTATTTTTAAAACTCAAACCTCGCTACTACATGTTTTTTAAGGCAGAAGGGGGTCAGTGGCGTCGCGTGCTTTGCGACGCAGGTTGATCTGCAATTTTATTCATACCAACGGAAAAGGATCGAAAAACAGGTCGCAACAAACACCTTAATAGTCGATTCTTTACCACCGATTCAAATGGGGAAATATCGATAATCGACCATCATGCCTCGCCACTGAAGGTTGTACGAATAGATAAAAGTAAAACTTATCATCCAGATTTTTATTCATGTCCAATGACATTTTTCGACGGATCATTCTCTCCTCCCTCCCGTCTCTCTCTTACTCTCTCTTTCTCTCTCAAATACCCATACGTGGACCACATTTTGCAATAAGGAACCACTATTTCTGGCTCATTTTAGAAACAACATATATACCATTGGTTTCCCTACGCAGAAAAGTGCTTTTAAAGAAGAGCCAGAGAGACTGGGTCCTTATTGCAAAATGGAACCCAAGTATGAGTTGAGAGTGATTACTTAGAGTTTTTTTTTCAGGAGGAGACATTTTATACGTATCAGACAAGTATTAGCCTCGAGCTAGTGCAATTAGTCAGTGCATAACTTTCTCCAGCAACTTTTGACCCAACATAGGTACCTATACAAAAAAAAACTTCGGTTACAGTGATCGAACTATCACATTGCATTATTAACAACCTCGTATTTTAAGACTAACTGTTGCTATAACACACAGGAAAAACATCTGTCGCAGGGACATAATTTTGATTTAAGAAATTTAAAATCTAGAAATACGTTATTGATTAATCGACTATCATCGAATCATTCTCGACATTGCCGAAGGGCTAATTGAAGCGGTGCATCTTTGTAAATGTGAGAAGAATATTTTATATTTTAAAAAACGGTGAGGAACCGATAAATGCCAATCTGAGGACACCTCTGTGGTGCTAAATGATATGCATGATCATCCGAACACCTCAAAGACTGCATCATATGCCACTGATGAATGACCTTTGAGAGTATATTATCTGTTCATCAATGTTGTAAAGTTTCAATGATTTTCCAATGAGAGCTAATTACTTCATGTTAGAGTGCCTTTCGCATGATTGATATAGACAATCTTAGACCACACTCATATGAGTGAAGGTTGAATATTATGAATGCGTGCAATAGCTAATCTTGTACCAGAGTTGCCGAGTTTCAATGGATTGACTGGCCATTGCTAAAATAAAAAATAGATAAGCTCTATCTCAACTTTAGCAATATCTTGAAATGTGAGACAAAATTAAATGTTCCAAATGCCATTATTTTCATGACGTAGTCTTAAGAGTTTTATCAGAATAAAAAATGCACCTTTTTGGTTTAAGAATTTGTTCACGGACTGAAGAACTCCAATGGGAATCTGCAACAAGAAAAAAAAACGAAGACGTATGTTTAAAAATGAAACAATAATCATTGAAAATTATTTGTTGAGACGCACTGGGAGAGCAGTAAACTTCATGATTAGAATCGGAAAATATTAATCCAGATTGGACTATAGACCAGTTTGATTTATCGTCATTAAGCTGCTTGAAACCGGAGATTGTGCCGTCATTGGATCCATTATTTAAAGTTTCTATGCTAGAAATATACAATTATTGAAATATTTTTGAGGACTCTGCGACTTTATGATCTGTACTTTGCATTGCCACAGATCAATCATCATATAAGACGAAACTAGTGTCGAAAAATTGATCCGTTCCTTTTTGATCTCGACCTTTTTTCATCATTTGAAATTTTTGTTGGATTTGTGCTCTTTTGAACAGAGAACCTACGTGTTGTAACGTAAGCATTTCTTTTTGAAAAATCTACTCACTGTGGAAAAAGGCCTGTAAAATATTAAAATTCTAGACGAGGATCTTGAGTGAATTCCTTGCAGTTTTAGTCTATTCTCTATTATATATAGATTTTCATATATTTGGAGAGGGGGAAATCCTCTTCCTTGATACCCCAAAATTATAATTTATGCCATTTTCTTTTGCATTTATTCGATTCGGCTCATGGGCCGTTCATCCAAAACGTAACGGTAACGCCATTTTGTTTTTACTTATTGAAGCAGGGTAAGGACCCACGTCACAAAAGCGTTACAAGAGTGAAGGGGGAGGGGGGCCGAAAAATCCGAAATTTAGGGTTACGTATTATATGGACAGCCCCTTGAAGACAATAATAATTTGGTAGTGTTGTTATCTCATTTGTCTCAAAAAATAGACTGGTGTCATTTTGAGCCTAGGTACTTGATTTTGTCTGAGAATAAAGGCAGTCATACTTAGGTTATACTTACGGCAAAAATGTGATCGAAGAAGCCCTGGCCATTGCCTCCTTGGGCTGCAGTGGCACCTGAGGCATGGCCGCTTCCAGCGGTGGCACCAGCGTAACCTGAGCCACCGCCGAGACCTGCGGAGGCGGACGGACCTCCAGCAGCGCCGGCTCCAGCGAAGAGACCCCCACCGTTCGGACCTCCGCCTAGACCTGCAGTCGCTGAGTAACCGCCCCAAGACGCTGATACCTGCTTACCCAGGATTCCGTTCGCCGAGTCCTGCCAACATAATCCAATTCCACGTTAGTAACTCATTCTCAGCCCGTGAAAAATAATGTAAAAGGCTTCTAGCGAGGGATTGGAGATTTCAATGTGCTAGATTATCCAGAGAAATTAAACTGGAATATACTATCTCCAAATGCATACACACATAGAGAATATGATAGGTTTCAAAAGTAGCAAATAAGCATTAGGTATGTTAAAAAGGTTTTTGAAAGCTCATTTTCTTGAAAACGATTTTAAAGTGTGAAAAACATGTATCAATAGTCCCAGCTCATTTCTCTTAGATACTCCACACTGAGCAATGCCTCGCATGCTTAGCTGCTGAATTACTCCCGCAACATTATAAGTACCGCTGGAGGTATGCTACTTGTTTGAAGGCGCTTCATAATGCGACAGTTAACCAAACGGCGGACCTCCCTGAGAAAAGGAGCTTTTTAAGGAACGATTATCAATACGACCTGCAGCCTCTGCAGTGTACTTTCCAGTCTACCTAAGGGCTGATTATTGAATGTGATAGACAAGGCGATAGACAAAGACAAATGAAAAATTGAGCAATCCTATTCGTTGAAACGGGTGGTTTTTATAAGCTGTGGAGAAAATGACGGACCAATTATTAGGTCTTTCGTGGGTTACCGTTATCAGTCTATTCCTTACCTCCTTCGTCTATTGCAACCCTCCGATTTTACCGATCGGATTGCTTCATATTCTCTTTCCTTTGGCTATGGCTTCGTCTACCAATTTCAATAATGAGCCCACGAGGAGGCTGGGAAAAACACAGCATGAGTATGCTGCGGGTCGTATTGATAATCACTCCTTAAAAAGCTCCTTTTCTTAAAAAGGGCTGCCGTTTGGTTGGCTGTCACATCATGAAGCACCTTCAAACAAGTAGCATATACCTTCAGCGGCACTGACCATGTTGCAGGAGTAGTTCTGCCGCCCTGAGGAAAAACGCCGTGTGAGCTTTTAGACGTTGCCAGATTTACTGCCATAAAAACAGAAGTTTCATGGAACATTGCGATCAGTTTTCTTCAAATTTTTCAGATAATTTTGATCGCGATTTGATCTAAAATCTTTGAAAATTTCAAGAAGAAATATGAATAACTTTCCTCTAAAATGCATGTTTTATTTAGAGAAATTTGGCAACTCTCGAATGTTCATACGTCGTTTTTCCTTAGCACGGCAGAGTTAAGTAGCGCCACCAAACGGGGTTGGGATGCATTGGATGCATGTTGCATGCGAGCACCTGGAAACCAGTGGAGTGTTGAGTTGAACAACAAGAGCACACGCGTCGTGGAAAATTACCCCTGGTCGTCGTCGTCGGCTGAAAATTGTTTCAAGGTCTGCGACTCGCTGGAATATAAATTGCGGAGCTTTTTGCTTTTTATTGCACGGCGTCGATAATGACACGTTCGCGCGCGCGCCTTTCTCGCGCTTCGAATCGCATTCCACCTCAAGTTGGACGTATTTCTGTCAAACGGAACTATGTGCATCAAGACATGAGCCCTGAGCCCCATCAGAATATGTGCATAACAGGGCTCACGTCATAATACACATAGTTCCGTTCGATAGAAATACGTCCAGTTTCGCCACTTCCTCCAACTCCCGTCCAACTGAACGCCGAACGTGGCTCATACTGCCATGCTAAGAAAAAACGCTGTATGAACGTCCGAGAGTTGTCAGATTTTCTTCGATAAAATGTTTATTTTTTAGGAAATTTGTGAATATTTTTCCTTGAAATTTTCAAGAACTTTAGGTGAAATTGCGAGCAATACTATCTGAAAAAATTGGAAAACAAATATTCATAGGTTTATCAGGAAATTCGTGTTTTATCAAAGGAACTTTGGCAATGCCTGGAGTTCCGTACGGCGTTTTTCCTAAGCACGGCAGCATACACAGAGCCAATTCCTCCGAGGCTTCCTCCAAGCGCTGGAGAATAAAATCCAGTGATCCCATTCCACGACCGTCGGAAGTTCCGCGATTCTTTTTAGATTTTGTTAAAAGATCCAAGAAAGTTTCGAAGAATGCAAAAGATTCGGACACTCCTCGGATATTTCAAGAGTTCCGGGAAAAACTCAGATAAATTCCAGAAGTTCCGAAATACGGCACTAAAGCCGGGAAATGGAAGCACTAAAAGATGAATCGGTTTCTGGGAGAGGGGCATCAGTCCGCAAAACTGAATCTCACGGGGAAGCAACAAACTGATTCTCTCGTCAAGCAGGACGATTAAAAAAAAAAATTCCAGAATGTTCAGCGGACCAATCATTGAAATTGATAGACGAAGCTTTAGACAAAGAAGACAACATGGATATGGAGGGGTCCTATTGGTGGAAGCGGAAGGTGGCAATGGGCAAAGGAGGTAGATAATAGACTTAGTGACCGCACTCAGTGACAGTTGGCCTACAGATAGTCCATCATTTTCCCCCTTAGTCTATGACGATCACCCATTTCAACCAAAAGGGTCGCTCTATTTTCCCTTCGACTTCTTCATCTACAGCTTTGTCTCTCGCTTTCAATAAGTAGCCCGCAGAGGATGGTTCAACATGTGATAAAAAAATTCTAAACAGAAAACGTTGATATCATGATTTTGCGTCTGCGAGGGGTTCTATTCACATGAAATAGCTTTGTGGTGAAATCAATGAGCATAATCTAAATTTGGCATCATCGATCCACAATGTGCAGTTGTGCACCACACACATCACCATTTTACGTATCAGTGCAATCCAGTGTTTTTCCGATTTCTTCACGCGTTGATGAGGATGCCCGTGGCATGCGAACAGCAAATAATACTTATGGCCACGGTGATTAACAGATAACAAGGGTATTGCAGCTCCGATGATTGCAGCACTGGTAATTCGCAAAAACCCCGCATTAGTGCGCACCCTTCGTTTGCACGTATGACTTCGTATTAAAATGTAGTACTTCTCGACGATATATTTACTTGATTAATAGTTACTGTGTCACGACAAAAACCTTACCTAGCATTGTTTGGGTAAGCCCGTTTTGTAAATTGATATATTCATTATAATTTCCTATTTCACTATGTTTTCAGGAGAAAAAGAAAAGTGTAAAAAAATGTGCAAAATTATTGCATACCACAGTTCATTTTTCCTGCAACAATTAATTCACGGGTGCATATTGTCTTATTACTGTGACCGTGATATGACTGAATTCCTTTTTTAGGGATAATTGATCTTCTACGTGAAAAGAGACGTAGGAGAGAAACTTTTCAAGAGAGCGCTGATTATTATTATAATTATTTTTTCGATGGATAAAAGAGAAACTTCTCAGGAAAGCGATAATTATTATTATTTTTTTTAAATGCATTAAAAAAATTCGGATATTTGAGTGTTGATAAAATGGATTCTAGTACCCTAGTGAATACGTTTTAAGAGGTCAAGTTTGTTTTCATATACTATGGTAGTGAATAGACAGTAAAATTACTGGAGGACTATTGGATTCCTGGGAGTTTGGGATAAAATTACCAAAATTTCTCAGTGCTGATTCGTTTTCAATTCTATAGCCACCAAAACGGTGTAAATTTCATTCAATATAGGTAGGTACTAAAGATCACTTTACGATGCACGTAACTGTCCATCCACTTTAAAGAATGAGTAGAACATGTTTTCCGTGGCTGTCCCAACTTTCTCATTTGAAAATGAAATCACCGTGGACAGTTGCCAGGGACACAGAATACAAACGAATTCCGACTGCTCATTCAATGCATTAAGAGCTAATCACTAATGCAAACGAACAGAAATACGAATTTATGATTACTTTCACTTCCATTGACACTAAAACTGTCACAAGATGGGATTCATAACTCCAAGATGGGAATGTCTCCATTTTCAAATAGTTTCTGCAGCTGAGGATCTGAATATCTTGATGTGGATGGTTTAAGTTTGGTTGATTTTATCTTGGTATGTGTAGAATCTTGCCAGTGGTTTCCGCGCAGACGGATACCAGCTTTGCCTTACAGATGTAGCGATGGTTATTTTTGAAGAATTTTCTCTAGAATTCTTAAAGGCCAGCTCGTAGGGCACATTTGTTTTGTAAGGACTTTAAATAATTCACATTGAGCATGACATCAATATTAAGGAAATGAAAACTTGCATGTTTAAAATAATGCACTTTAAGTACACCATGAAAAATTAAAACCAGCAAAAATGCTTTTTTTCGACACTATATAAAGTGCATGTATTTTAGACGTTCATTGATATTTTCAGAGTGTTATTTCGTTTAAATGTTATATTAGGAAACATCCAATGAATAATAAGAACTCGGAATAAAATCGCATGCTCATGATTTTGAAAGATATAAGTTTAAAACCCGCAGCTTACATTATTATGTCTTACGGCTCCTAAAAAAAATTGAAACGATGTTGCAGAGCTTAAAAGTGAGTTTTAGATTTCAGATTTAAAGTAAGTTGCAATTTACTTTCAAATAAGTCTGTTCCAAAATAATCAATATCACAAATTCTATTTAAAAAAAGTGCACGTATCACCTCTTCAACAGGAAGTTTCATTGTGAGCCGAGAACTGTATTTTGGCTCCTGTTCAAACGAAATTTGCAGATTTAGTTATTTTGATTCCTTATCACATTTGGTGGGCCAGATATACCTATAGCAGTTCCCAAGTGGCTGCAGTGATCACGATGAGTTGCGATTTGATCGGAGAACGTATCGCGATTTTATCGACGTCAATTTATTGCGATACTATCGGATGAAAAAATGCGATAAATTGCGAATTCGTCGCAAAAATTTGCAATAAAATTGCGATTTCATCGTTGGCGATATATTGGAATATTGTAGAGCAAAACATTGTGATTAATTGAGATTAAATTTCCATTTTATCGAACACGATTTTATAGGGATAAAATTGCGACAAGATTGAGGATAATCGCTCCGATGTTGATGATCCTAGCGATTTTATCGCCAAAAGTCGTAAAATAATTGCAACTCAATTTCACAAATCGCGATTTTTGTATTGGAGTATACTACTTGAGTTGTGCTTGAGAATCAGCGCTATCTTAGTGATCAGAGAAAAAAGAAAACTTACGATTTCATTTGCACTGTCTGGAGTTGCGGGGGATTTAGCTGGAGCTGTTGCTACGACGCTCAGGAGAGAAACTACTGCAATGAGTGCGGCCAACATCTTAAATCTAGGAACAAGAAAAAGAGAGAGAGAAATTAAAATCTGGAATTTTTGCTATTCACACTCAGGAGTGGTCTCATGGTCTAATTCAAAAAAATTTACGCAAGTTCGTAATGATTACGGCGGTTTTCCACGAGGAATCGAAAGGTATCAGAAAACATAAAATGTGTATTTATTAGCATGCATTACTGCTACACTTTTAAAATGAGCCGTTAATTTTCGATGATTAATAAAGGAGGAGCGCCACGCTCACGACTACAGGCAGGAGTGAATGACTATGAATTGTAGTAGAATACACTATCCTCCGGGAGTTATGGGGACGCATGAGAGAATGGAGATGTTGCATGTGTGAGGGATTTGAGATTTGACCAATGATTCTTATGTAAAAGTTCGCGAAAAACTCAATGGTGCCACTGGTTTTCTCTGAAATCGTCTCCCAAGCTTAAAAAAAGCTCTCAAAGTGAGGCCAAAATGGAGGGGATATCCCGCCCTACCCTGAGAGTCCACCTCTAGGTACATCAAAACAATCTCTCCATGCAAAAATAGGGAGCAAATACATTGACAGGGCTGCCACTTTATTTGGGGACTCCATAACTGAAAACACGACAACCCTGCTAATGTATTTGCTCCCTACCTTTGCATGGAGAGTTTGTTTTGATGTAGAGGTGGACTCTCAGGGTAGGGTGGGATATCCCCTCCATTTTGGCCCCACTTTGAGAGCTTTTTTTGAGCTTGGAAGATGATTTCAGAGAAAACCAGTGGCACCATCGTGTTTCTCGCGAACTTTTACATAAGAATCATTGGTCAAATCTCAAATCCCTCACACATGCAACATCTCCATTGTAGCGCGAAAGGGAAGCAGCCATTTTGAAAACGACGCGTGAATTTACTACGGGCTCTTTTAAATCCAATGGATTTAAACTACTTCCTGAATGCCCAGTCGCCCTAAATGGAGCATGTACATGAAGTAGGATGAGTAGTGAGAGGAATTCACAGATTATTAACAATATGGACTTTGATACTATGTGATACTATATTACTATAAGTACATTTAGATCTACAATGCGGATTAATAAGATATTTCAGCAGTCGATAGGGTATATAGTCTATAGAGGGACCGGTTTTATTCAAATTGGAAATTATGCCATTGCCACGAGGCGGCCGCAACGGTCCCCCTAGGGGCCTAAGGGACGCTCTAGGGGAGGAGGGGGGGGGTCGCGAAGATTGTTACGCTATTTTGTTTTCATGTGTTAAAAGATGGGACCTATGTAACAAAAGCGTTACAGGGGGGGGGAGGGGGTTAAAAATTCCGAAAAAGTGCGTAATTTTTGGACAGCCCCTAGAGGATGCAGAACGTAATTAATGGAGGATGGGAGGGCCGCATGGCGACCGAGAGGGCCCTCGTCTGGAACACTCGGTCAGGCACTCTGCCGTGCTAAGGAAAAACGCCGAATGAACATTGGAGGGTTTCCAAATTTCCTCCAATAAAATGTTTATTGTGAGAAAAAATATTAATATTTTTCCTTGAAATTGTAAGACTTTTCAGATCAAATTGCAAAGAAAATTATCTGAGAAAATGGAAGAAAAATATTCACAAATTTTCTTCAATAATTAATGATTTGTTGAAGGGAATTCGGCAACGCTTGAAGGCTCATACGGCTTTTTTCGTCAGCACGTCAGCGCACTGTTTACTGATGCAGTGATAAGTTATTAAGGCGGGATACTGTGACGTTTGCGCTTGCGGCATCGGAAGCGTCAACATTCACATTTAATTGACAACAAATTAATTACCGTGAGAGTAAACAATCCGAGAATAATGTTAAAACACCTACGTTGTCACTTATATTGTGGAAAGGTTAGCCTGTTCCTGTACTAGAAGATGTAATTGGTCAATGACATGAGATAAAAGAAGGGTTATCATGTGATAGAAAATTTAAATTGAAATGAGAAAAAAAAAACAAACAAACAAACAAACAGTAAACATAGAAAATAATTTGAATTTGAATCAAAGGGAAATTCCTAGGGATGTTCCCCCCACTATAGTTTCACGCGGCTGAAAATTACACAAAATCCATTAAAACCAATTGAAATTCCTTCCAAAACCAATTGAAATTCCTTCCAAAACCAAAGACTTTGTTAATAAGGGGTATTTTACGAGAGTTCCTTTTGAAGCAAATAGAAAATCTTCTCGTATGGGAATCAAGTTTTCCTCGAGAGAAAAACATTTCAACTGAATCAAAGATCCCAATCGACATCAATTTTTCCCCCTTCCAGGATTCTACTGCAAATTTCCTTAAAACAGATCAGATGTTTAAGGGAGACTAATCTGACAATAGTAAATTGAGCACTGCACACACAAATGCTCGCGGACCTATAGGTTGAATAAAACGAAGGGCAACCTTACAGATCCGTCTGATACGCAGTGCCAGACTGAAAGAGAAAACAATGTGCGTAATACTTACGCTGAAAGCAAACAAATACGAATTATAGAATCGACTTGCTGCAGGATATGACAAAAGCCCAATCAAGAAAATCCCCTGAAACTTTTAATGCGTGTTCGAAGTATAATCGACCCAATTTTCCCTGATATTTCCGTAACTATAGCAGATTTAAAAAAAATTCCACACGGTTGGCTCTGGCGTGGTTTTTCCAGTTATGCTTACGGACTTGCTTATATTACTCTAAATTATGACATACTTTTTTCTTTCTTCAGAGACATTTTTGAGAGTGTTTTATCATAAATTTGAATGGACATCTGAGATCATATTTTTAGACAGAACTTAGAATTAAAATCTCTGAGAAAGGAATTAGTTCGCCTTATATACCTAATTTCCAGCCCCTAAATTTCCATTTACTTGAACATTTTTTTTTTTTTTCAAGTTTAACCTAACGAAAATATCAATGAGCCTTTTGAAGTGTCGGAAATACCTCGTAATTTACAATATGTATTAAGCAACGGGAGGTGTCCCTAATTGTTTATGTATTAAAAAAAAAGAGGAACTAGAGGAATATCTAAAATTTCGTATTTACCGAGTGAAAGATACATTGTAAAAAATTTAATTTTAATCGATTAGTGTTGAATTTAAATCCTTCGGAAGTATTTGAGCTTATACAGTTGCACTGGGAAAAATCAGCTTGGTCAATCAGTCATAACTATTTTGACTAAAGTAGTGATCATTTTCAGGTTTTAATTTTTTCCTTATGATACACAAATTGTGCAAAAACAGCAACTCTTTTTTTTCTCTCTTATCTGGATGGTACTGCGATGAATCATAATCGTGGTCTTTTTTCCACCAGGAAACAGGTTGTCCACTCACTGTGTGACTGAACCTTTGAGTTGGTCTGTCGTCATTTTATCATCGTGCGATTTCTCAGAAACTGGTTTGTGACAAGACTCGTTGGGGCCTTGAACTCGTCAACTTGTATCGTTCTCCGCTTCGGATTGGGCGATAGATAAGTTCGATTAGTCGCTGAATGATACCCATTTTTCAATCTATTAATAATCGAAGTCGAATCGGCTCATTCATCGATTCCTGATTAGGCTTTCCAGCGATAGGTGCTCCTTTAAATTCATCAGTTCCTTTCCTCCAGAACATGCGATCGAATACGTTAAGGGTTGAGAGGAGACAGACCTGTTTTGCAAAATGGTCCTACTATTTCATTTTTGCTCGTGGAATGTTTTGTGAGGAAAAATCAATTTCAAGTGTACCTGTTGGATGCCAGATACCTATTCTAGATATTGTGGAGGAACAGGGGAGTGTCAAAAATCCTCTATCGACATTGACGAAGTTATTTGTATTTGTTCTAAGAGCTAACATGAGAGGGAAAAGAATCGAAAAAAATTGTATTTTGAATCAGGAAAATTCCGGGAACATCCATCACCTCCTTTGATTGTCATAAAAACAAATACTGAAGAAGATCCTCGGCTATTTTTCAAGCTATTATTGTAGGACAGGACATTTACGATAAGAACTTATTTATGCTAAAAGGAACTATGCGCATAAGGTTTTCATGGAACATAGTTCCTTGTAGCATAAATACATCAATGTATAGACAAATCCACGGTATAAAGAAAGTGCTGGACACGTAGTTTTTCAACAATTTTGGTCTATGGGGTCATCTAGCTACCGACATTCACTGTCATTTCAGTCAGAGGGATTTTCCTGTACATGAAATCGTGAAAAAATCACAGCTAATAATTTATCCGTAACTGTAGGATGCGAAGTCACAAAATTAGAAATATTAAAAACACTGGAAGCCTTCTTAAATTGTATTTCTTCATTTCTTAAATTAATAAAAATTGGAGGCGCAAATCTGCCAGCGTATAAATTGTTAAAAATGTAGGAATAATTCAACGTAGCTAGGAGATTCTACATATTTTCTCGAGAAGAAACCTTTCATCGTAGGTATCATTTTGTCAGCTGGGCGCTCACTTATTATGACATAGCTGTAACCGACTGATATTATTGTCATACTTCCAACGAATGGAAGAGAAACAATTCATATGGTTCATATCACGATTCCTAAACTACGCCGCGCATACTGATACTCACGGAAGTATTCTTGTGCCGTATAATAAAATTAAAATTTGGATTCATATCCCAGACGAAAACCGCGCTTTGCATAGCGATGCAGTTACTATAAAAAACTTATGACATAGTCTCCTAGGATTAAATGGACGTATTTATGTTAAAAGGAACTATGTTACACGCAATCTCTATGCACACAGTTCCATTTAGCATAAATACGTTCAAATTTCACACGGAATAAAGGCAAATTTTCGAAGAAATCTTGTTGTGTAAAAATACCGGGACACCCATCATAGAGCTGGTAGCAACGGCTGTCAATTTTATTCTTTATGCCCAACACTCCCAACCCGAGCATGGAGGGCTCGGCTGCAAGCTCAATCCTCCATATCGAATGACCCATCCTCCACAAATATAGCACTACAAATATACTTGATAAAATGCATGCATACATCTCGGGTCTCCGAAGCCATTTTTTCAC